GCTGGGCTGTGAGCTGTCATAGCTCCACCCTCACTGCTGACCCCATGGCCCACTGCCCATCCATCCACCAGCCCTGCAGTCCCAGCACAATCACCCATCTGCTCAGGAGGTGTGCTGGCCAAGGGGGTAGGGGCCACATTTCAGGAGCCTCGGCTGCATAAGCATCCAGCACCTTTGCCCTGGGGCCTTCTGACTCCTGTCATGTTCATGCAACACGGCACACAGTCATGGTGCCCGCCAGAGATCAGGCAGTCCAGACTGGCCTGACGTTGCTCACATCCTGCCACTTGGGGATATCAGCGCTAGGTCCCCTCACTGCGGGGGTGGGAGGGCAGCTTCAACTCAAAGCCTGGGGACCGCATGGATGCTGTCATTCAACTCCCAGCACAGGGCCCACCGGCCCAGGCAGCGGGCTGGGGCAGAGGGCCAGGGCCACGAGCAGGGCACAGTGGGGACACCTACGAGTGAGTGTCAGAGGGCCCCTGGCTGCCTCCCCCTCCTTCCACCTCCAGGCTCTGGAAGAGAGACAGCCCTGAGGAGGCAGGCTTGCCGAGGGGTCGGGGGTAGGGCCTGTACTTTAGCCGGAGGCTTCCATCCTCCACCAGGGGGCTCCCAGGACAACATCTGGGTTGAGGCAGTGCCTGGGCAGAAAGGCAGAGGCCAGGCGGTGGCTGTTCCCTCCCTGAGAACACCCATAGGGGATGCACTCAGAGCCTCCACAGGGCAGGTTCAAGTGCGCTCAGGGGCAGCACACTGTCTCCCCACCCAGGGCTGGTCCCAGAGACCACAGTGAAGGGGCACCACCATTCCCACCCCGGGAGACCCTTCCCAGGCCTCTGCTCACTGGGGAGAAAGTGCTTTCAGTAATTACTGCCTGAGATGATCAGTAGCAAAGTTCACAGGAGGCTCCGAGTCCCCAAGGCCCTCTCAGTTGTGAACTTTAAAATGGCCAATTTACCTCCCTCATGAATAGCCTACATTTTAAGGCAAGTTTCAGGTCTGAGAGAGTACAGGGCACCCCCCCAAAATGGGTCACCACTTACCCCCGTGCCCCCACCCTGCCCCTGGGCACAGAGGTCCTTGCAGCCGGGCAGCCACCCTGCTGGTCTCTCTCCCATGCCTGACCCACATCAGCAAACACGCCAGCTGCCTACCCCTCCATGAGCTCCCACGGAGCCTGTCCCGTCTGCACAAGGTGTTGGGTGCAGAGGGACAAGACGCAACCCCCGCTCTTCGGCTGAGGAAACAAGCTAAGGAAACCAACATAAACAGTGATGATAAAACTCACATTTATTAAGCAACTACTATGTACGAAGCAGCAAGGAGGCACCTACACGTCGGTCAAGGCAAAGCAGTCAAGGGCCCCTCCAACATGCCCCAGCCCAGCCACACAGGCTGCAGAGACGGCGGCACCCCAACCCCCACCAGTGACATCCGGAGCAGCTCAGGGCGGGTCCTGGCCTATAGGTCAGCTGGCCAGGTACAGAGCCACTGGCTTTTCCTGGGGACACTGCCCACCTCCACCTCAGACCCTCTGGCCAAATCATGTCCCCTGTGGTTCTCACCTGGGTTGCACCTGCCCTCACACTATGCTTGGTCACAGCAAACAAGACTACTAAGTGCATGACTGAGGCACCCCTAATCAGGCTGGCCCTTCCAGCCCCACCAGTTTTGGTGCCTGATGTGAAGAGCCGTCTCATTGGAAAAGACCTTGATACTGGGAAAGACTGAAGGCAGGCAGAGAAGGCAACAACAGAGGAGATGGCTGCGTGGCATCACTGACTCAACAGACATGAGTCTGAGCAAACTCTGGGAGATGGTAAAGGACAGGGACGTCTGGCATGCTGCAGTCCACGGGGTCACAAAGAGCCGGACATGACTGAGCCACTGAAAAACACCTGGTCTGCTCCCTGCAGACCACAGGCGGGACCGCTGGTGACTCTCAACCTTTGAGACCCTTCCTATCCCCACTCTTTGGTCCTCCTTGTCTGATACACCCCCGCCCCATGTGTCCTCCTTTAAGAGTTGAACTGTGTCCCTCAAAATTACCTGGTCAAGTCCTAACTCCCAGTATCTGGGACCATGGCCTTATTTGGAAATAGGGGCCTTGGAAAAGTAATCAACTTATATTTGAGGTCACATGGATTAATGTGTTAGTTGCTCAGTCGAGTCTGACTCTTTGTGACCCCATGAACTGTAGCCCATCAGGCTCCTCTGTCCATGGGATTCTCCAGGCAAAAATACTGGAGTGGGTAGCCATTCCCTTCTCCAGGGGATCTTCCCGACCCAGGATTGAACTCAGGTCTCCTGCGTTGCTGGCAGATTCTTTACCATCTGAGCCAACAGGGAAGGATTAGGGTGGACCTTAAATCCCACACCTGGTGTCCTCATGAGAAGAGGGAGATTGGACACAGACACATAGGAAGGGGGCCAGGTGAAGATGGAGGCAGAGATCAGGATTATGCATCTACAGGCCAAGGAGCTCCAAGGACCACCAGCAATCGCCAGAAACTCAGAGAGAAGCCTGGAATAGATCCTGCCTTGGAACCCCAGAAAGGAAGCAACACCGCCAACACCATGACTTTGGATTTTCAGCCCTTCAAACTGTAAGAAAATTAATTGCAGCTGTTTTAAATGACCCTGTTTGTGGTAATCTGTTATGACAGCCATAGGAAATGAATACAACTGCCCATCCCAAACGCTTGACTGATGGAACCAGGGTCACAGATGTTCCAGCACATGCTAGGTGCTGACTGTGCTGGACACTGTGCCAGCCTGGGGACACAACAAGAACGGGTCAGAAACACAAAACCTTGGGAACCCAAGTGACATGTCAAAGTGCTGCACTTACCACATTACTGCCAAGGGTGCACAAGGAAGGGGCATCTCAGTGGGGCCTTGAAGGTTGAGTAGGAGTTTGTGCGGCAAGCTCCTGTCCAAACATACTCTAAGGACAAGAGTGTACTTCCTGCTGTCTCACTACCAAGTAGGCTTCCAAGGAACCCCTGGCTTTTTCTCAATGCTCTGAGCATGAGCACATACTGTGGACACAGCTCATATGAGTGCAGAACATGTATTTCTGATGCCCTCTCAGAATACCAGTAAGAGAGCCCTGCGTATATATATTGAGAAAACACCAAGGTGACCACACAGACTGCTAGTCCTATCAGGTCAAACCAGATGACAGCCTAAGCCGAAGACCCATCTCCAACAGTCAGCAGGCAGACATTCTGCCCTGCGATGCGGTCTTTCTGATCTGATGTTTGGGAGCAGTGCTCAAACACACACTTCTCCCTAGAGACTTGCAAAGTGCAAACAACTGGATGAATGCTGACGCCAAGGCAGCTTCAGGAACCGTGGCTACACTTGTCACACTTAGCTCCAAACACCAGGGTCCTCAGAGTCTCTTGGGCTGCCAACATGTGTGTCTGGGTCACATGCTTGAGTCTCTGCCCCACCAAGGGTCCCACATGGGGTGTCACTGTCAGGGCAGACCCTGGAGTTGCTGTCCAGGTGTGACTCCTGCCTCCACCGTGTACCAGCAGGCACTCAGGCTCCCTATACCTGTCTCCTGATCTGTAAAATGGGGATGATAGTAACTCGAGACATTAAACGAGTTGAGACCTGCAAAGCCCTTAGAGTAAGGCCAGTAAGCTCCCCATAAGGGTTAACCAAACAAATAAGAATGCTCTGTTTTTAAACCTGTATTTCTCCTGCTAAAGTCCTCTCTTCCCCATTTAGCATTTATGAGGCTCCTCCTTTGTCAAAAATCAGTCACGATAAAAGTCTCAAACAGGCAAGAGACTGAGGACAAGTCCACCAGGTCCCTGCAGGCCATCAGAGCGAATCCCTTCAGGGGAAAAACAGGCTCACAGAAACCAAGGCATACTGCAGAGGACCACAGGTAAACAAAGGTGAAACACAGGTGAAAGTAACATAGCTGTCAAAAACACCAAGAAAATTCAAGTGGGAATGACTAACACCCTATTTCTTCTAAGCTTCTCTTCTAAGGAAAAACAGTAGGAAAACTGAAATCTTCATTTTCACAACTTAAGGCTTTGTTAAAGGTGCCCCCAAACCAACTGGGAAGGTTATCTCTAGAAAACCACAAGGCCGAACTTAAAGAACGTGGGCAAGGCTGTAAAGCGAATGTGTAAAGTTTCTGTTAGGTGAGAGACTGGCTAGGTGTCACACTGAAAGACAATTTGACACGCGAATAAGGGCAGCAAGGTTTGGCCGGCAGGTCGGCCCCGGGGTGTAGCGCGCTCCTTGAAGGGCTGCGGGGCTGCTGGAACTGCGTCCCACCCTCTGGATGCGCCCCTTTGTGCATCGGAGTGCACTTAAGGGGGCGGTAGGGGCCTGCTGCTGGGACCGATTCCTGTCGCCCCGTGCGCCCCTCGACCATTCAAGGTGCGCGTAGGGGCCAGGGCCGCCCACCACGCAGCGCCACCGCTTTCGCCAGCGAAGCGGATCCCTTGTGCACGCGGGGTGGCCGGCAGACACCACTCAGTGGGCGGCTGGTCCCACCGCCCTGCACCCCTGCCCACGGGCCGTGGCCCCAAAGATGGTGAGTCACCACTGTGCCCGCGCGGCCCGCAGTCGATCCCGGGCTGGATCCGAGGATACCAACCCGCGAGCAGCATCTTTCGGACACCACCCCTTGGGCAGTCTGTTCCGCCACTCTGCGCCCCTGCCCGCGGCCCCTGGTCCCGAAAGCGGCGGGTCTCCACCGTGCCCGGCGTGGCCCAGGGTCGTTCCCGGCTTGGATCCGGCGACACCACCCCGCGGGCCGCCCCGCGCCCTGCTTACGGCCCACGCGCGCCCCCGCCCAAGCTGGCGCACGTCGGCGGCCAAGCGCGCGCGGGGCCCCGGCGGGGTCGCTGCGGTCGCCTGCGCCCCGGCTTTGTTCGCGCCCCGCGCCCGCTGGCTACCCTCGACCCGGCCGGGCGCCCGCCCGCACCCCGAGGCTCCCGGGCCCCGGCCCGGGGCTCCCAGCCCACCTTCTGGATGGTTTGCTGCGTGACCTCGCCTTTGCCTCTCGGCCGGGCGGACGCGAAAGCCACCGACATGGTAGCGGGCGCGGAATCAGCCCTAGATCATCGGGGTTTATTCTCTGGCTGCGATCGCCAGCCGGAGGCGCTCATTCTCCGCAGTCGCTGGGGGGCGGGGGGCGCGGGGGGAGCCGCGTTGTGGGCTCGTCCGCCCCGCCGCTGCCGCTTCTCCCTGAAGCCCGCCGCGCCCCTATCCCGTGCGCCGCCTCAGCTCGAGACGGAGCCCCGCATGGCGCCCCCGGGCGACTGCTCCGCGCCCCTCGCCCGGCCCCCCGCCGCCGCGCCATCCCCCGCGCCCGGCCGCCGGTGGTTCGGCCGGGCCCCGCCCCGTTGCGCGCGCACGTCAGCCCGGCGCCGCCTGACGCCCCGGGACGCCGCCTTACGCCGGTAGCGTAATCGGGGGCGCCGGGGGCGGGCGGGCGCGCGCGCGGCGCCGGCGCAGCAACGTTGTGAATCGCCGGCTGCGCGGCCGTGAGTGTGCGCTTTTCCTGGACCCGGCCGCGTAGTCCAGCAGGCATGAGCTACGACCGCGCCATCACCGTTTTCTCGCCCGACGGCCACCTTTTCCAAGTGGAGTACGCTCAGGAGGCCGTGAAGAAGGGCTCGACTGCGGTGAGCGGGGAGGCGGGGGGCGGCAGAGGCCTGGGCGGCTGGGTGGGGCCCGGGCGCGTCTCGCCGACCCGCTTCCACGGGGGCCACGCTGACGGGCGCGCGGTGGTTCGGGGCCCAGGGAGGCATGGTCGCCTGGGGCGCACACGGAAGCTGGGACTGGGGCGCCGCTGCGAGAAAGAACCGCCGCAGGAGGCGGTCGCGAGGGCAGACCGGGAGGCTCTTCGGGCGCCGGTTTCCGCGTACGGGCGAGCGGGGCTGCTGGTGCCTCGACAAGGGCTCTACTGGCTGCGGGCTTCGCTTCCCCGCGCCGTGTCCGGAGCCGAGCGCACGCCTGCCGCCGACGCCATCTTGGCGGGGGCCCCCGCGCGGGCCTGGGGGGCCTGGGGCGGTGCGAGGGCGTGGAGCTTGGTGAGGCAGGGCCCGGCCCTTGCTAGTTCCGGGGCGCTCCTTGAGGGAGTAGGTGGCTGCGGTGGACTCAGTCTGGACAGCTCCCAGGTAGCCGACTCCCCCCTCCTTCTTGTCTCCCGCCCCCAGAAAGTAGTTGCCCTCCAGGTCTGGGGCGATCTCGAGAACAAAGGGCGGCCGGTGTCAGCATCGGCCCTGCACTTCCCGGGTCGCCGGCGCGGCCGTCAGGCTCCCTCCTGGGTCCGATTGCTGAGTCTTACCCCCTTGGACCCTGCCCTCGACTCGTGTCCCGTCGCACCTGAGCGGTCTGTCATTTAGGCTGCTGCTTCAGGTGTGAATACTTGTTGTCTTTACGATACCTGTCAGTTTGTTTATCGGTCAAACTGGATGATGGATTTTTGTGGGGGTTTTTTTTTCCCCCCAATCATTTAGTGTTTCGGAGGCCTGAGCAGGCAGAGAGAAAACACACGGTTCTGTGAATTTTGAAGTATTTTTTATTTCATGAATCTCGGAATAAGGCCCCCAAATCCACTTTCTGACCTGCCTCAGCTCAGCTTGAAGACTACTGGGGGAATGTCAACTGACACCCTCCACCGTGGGCCAGCCAGGTGGCTGCCTTTGTTTGCCCTGACTGCTGCCTCTGGGTCTGGCCTTTGCAGACAATTTATGAGAAAGCTCCTTGAAATCTGAAACGCTGCCACCCGCTGCTTCTCTGCATGGGACACGGAGACTTCTAAACATCCAACAGGGCTCGGACCTGGCTCCCCACATTGAAGAATTAGCTGGCCCAGTTGCCTGTAGGGCCAAGGCTGAGATACCCTGTCCAAACTGAGAGAAGTTGCTTTTACAAGTGATTGTCTCGTTTGTGTCTGCTGTGCTTTGAGTGGATTAACTGGCAGCCAATGTGGTTTTCTCCCCCATGTATTTAAAACATCTTTTTCTTGTGCTATAGTGTCAGCCATAAGCAGAGAGCCATGGGCCTCCCAGTGACAGTTGATATGTTGTTCACCTGATACCATACCAGGCACTTCTCCACTGCTGTGCACATTGGTTTCAAAAGTGCAGGAGGGGGAGTTCCTTGGCAGTCCAGTAGTTAGGACTCTGCTTTCACTGCAGTGGCCCAGGTTCAGTCCCTAGTCAGGGAACTAGGATCCCTTGGGGCTGGTGGTATAATCAAAAAAGAAAAAAAAAAGTGCACAGGAGAGGGAAGGATTTGGGTAGTTTTATAATCACAGCAACATTGCTTTTGGAACACCTGACTTCACTGTTACGGGTCTCACGCTCAAGCTTTACAGAGACTCTGATTCACTGGGTTGAAATGACACATGTACACAAGCACATGGATTATATAGCAGTTATTCCTTAGTTGTGTTGTAACTGAACCTACATATCAGTATTTTAAGGCACGAAGCTAGGTGCCTAGATGGTGATGCCTGGGCTAGCTCTACCAAAAGTGGATTGAGACTGTGGGTACACAGGCCCATGTTAACATCTGCTCTTAGTGCTGTGTCTCTGGTGGCAAAACCTCTGGTCAGTTTCGTAAGTGCCCCATTGATATTTATTGAAGGTCGGTGTTCGAGGAAAAGACATTGTTGTTCTTGGTGTGGAGAAGAAGTCAGTGGCCAAACTGCAGGATGAAAGGACAGTGCGGAAGATCTGTGCTCTGGATGATAATGTCTGCATGGCGTTCGCCGGTGAGTCTGGGGCCAGCACCGTGTCTCTGTCTCTTGGAAGAACGGCCCTCTGGAGGTTAACCTGGTGAAAGGGCTGTGGGGGACATGTGATTGGGTAAACCGGAATCATTTAGAAGAAAGATTTGGCCTTTAAGAAAAGGGCTGGTCTCAGTTTCAGGGGTAGGATCCTCCCCAGGAGGCTGAAGCAGAGGGGCTAAATGAATAAACAGTTCCAAAAAGAGGGGCTGTGCTGTCTCCTATATTGCTGCTATCAGGAGAAAGGTCAGCTGTCCACAGTTAACCGTGTACCTATGAAGTGGGGAGAGCCGGACAGCACCCTGTTCTCGGGATGTGCCGTGTTCTTGCATTTCTGTGACTTCACTCATTTCCTCCTTCAGCAGGAAGATCCCAGTTCCCCTAGAGATTGACTTGTCAAGACCTAGTGTGTGTGTAGCCTAGCACCCATAGCTCCTTAACCATGCAGCTTTCTTAGAGGATCTCAGAGGCTGCTGGTTCTACTGTGGGGCTCTCAAGAGTAACCTTGGTGCTGCCTATCAGGACCAGTTTTAGAACCTGCCCAAGGTTACCTGCTGTCCATGCGTGTGATCTGCACCATCCTTGACAGTTGCCCGGATGATGCATGGCTTAGGGGGCATTGTCTTTGTGATCCTTGCAGGCCTTACTGCTGATGCAAGAATAGTCATCAACAGGGCCCGGGTGGAATGCCAGAGCCACCGACTGACCGTGGAGGACCCGGTCACCGTGGAGTACATCACCCGTTATATCGCCAGTCTGAAGCAGGTGGGTGTTCCTGCTGTGGCTGGGCTCTGGTGTCGAGCTGTGTCCTGCAGCGTCCTGCCACGGGATATCACTGTGGGGAAATCAGGAAACTGCACTTGTTCCACAGGCACAGTCCTAACCTCGACTTTCTCATCTGCAGTTTTACTGTTGTTTATCCTTTTCAGTGGTATTTGTGGTGTTCTTATTTAGTGGTGTAGGGTAGTCCAGATTCATATTTCTAGAGGGACATGATGTAGTTTTTGTCTTGTTTTGAATGACCAGTCACCAAACAGTTGTGAGGGGGTTAAAAGCCACCCCCACTCTTGGTGAAATTTTAGTCACCTGTGAACCTGGTGTGTAACCAGATTGTGTCTGCTGTCAAAGTAACTCCAAGGAACCCCAGCCACTTTCCATGATGCATTCTGGTTTTCTAAGAATGAAAATGTAGCACAGGAAGGAGGAATGCTGAGAAAACATGGGTTCATTTCATTTTTCACTTGAATTACAAGTAACCTGAACATGGGCTTAATTTATTTTCATCCTTTTGTTAAAATCTGTGTTTGGAACATGGTGTGTGTTTTATTTGCAGTGGGTTCTGGGTGGCCTCTGTGCAGAGGCTGCGGTATCACTGTCTCTTTCTCCACTAGCGCTACACGCAGAGCAACGGGCGCCGGCCATTTGGCATCTCTGCCCTCATTGTGGGTTTTGACTTTGATGGCACCCCCCGACTCTATCAGACTGACCCCTCGGGCACATACCATGCCTGGAAGGTGAGTCCCTGAAGAAAAAGGGGCTTGGGGCCATTTTGTTTGTAGAAGCAGTTTTGGAGGCTGTTGGGACCTTGAGCTGGCCTCATCTTATAGAGGGATGTACGCATACACACGTTTTGTGCTCATGACACTTGTGATGCGGAAGCCGGGAAGTTGTTCAGTGTTGATGTTTGGGAGCAAAGGACAGTGAGCTGTAAGGACACGTGGTGTATGCAAGATGCCCGTGTGTCTTTTCATTAGAGTCCCATTCTTGGTGGGCATGAGCACCAACTCCAAATAGCCCTTTGCAAAAAGAAGCCATGGGGCAGGGCCTCCCCCAGCCCGGCTGCCTCTCCACAGCACGCAGGAGCAGGGTGGCACTGGCTGGCTCTGGATCGTTGCATTCTGTGCCATGTAACACACATCCCTGTTTCAGGCCAATGCTATAGGCCGGGGTGCCAAGTCAGTGCGTGAATTCCTGGAGAAGAATTACACTGATGAAGCCATTGAAACAGATGATCTGACTATTAAGCTGGTTATCAAGGCCCTTCTGGAAGTAAGTTTGTGTTTGAAACCTGGGCAAGATGAAGACACCCATGCCATGGTGGTGGTGGTACTTGGCCTGGGGAATGGACAGCATGGGATAGAACAGCCTAATGTATAGGCAACAAGGAGAGAGGCACAGGCACTCACAGTACCACCAGGCACCACTTTAGTGCTTTGTCAGCTCCTTACACATCTGGGGCAGTCAGGGTACCAAGTGGCTAAGTTGGCCTAGAGTTCAGACTTTCTGAGGCTCAAGCTGTGGCTAGAGTCAGAATTAGAAGAACTGGAAATAATGGGTGGGAGCTGTGATGTCTGACTTTGTCAAGACCTTGGAGGTGCTGGGAGTGAAGCCAAAGAGGCAGAGGGGGATTACAGTTTTAAGGCCAGGCTGGGGCTCAGGCCTCGGTGGTGGGGCAGGCTGCGAGCAGTGGGCAGGGCCCTGAGTATATGTGCTGCAGGAGGAGAAACAGACAGCAAGCCTGCCCAAACCCAGCTGCCCCAAGACAGGAGGAGTACAGATATCCCAATGGACTGCATCAGCGTGCAGCTGGGACACCCCGGTGTCCCTCCCCTCCCCTTGTGCGGCAGTTCTGGGTTCAGGTTCATGGGGCACTAAGTCTAGTTGAGGTGGGTGAGGTGTCTAACACTCTTTTCTCCCCTTGAAGGTGGTTCAGTCAGGTGGCAAAAACATAGAGCTGGCTGTCATGAGGCGAGATCAACCCCTCAAGGTAATCACCAAGTTGGTTTGCTGTCCTTCTCTTTGGGTATGTTCCCAGTGGTCAGGGCCGGGGGCAGTGCACGTTCGGAACTGCTCTAGCACCAAGAAATGTTCTTTCCAGGGGGCCCCACACAAGTGGAAAAGAAAACATTCCCACATTGACCATCTACACATTGGTTCCAGCTTGTCCCCTGGGTCAGCCACATGTGGCTTCGCTCTCCTGTAGCAGCAGCCAGAGGGGGCATCTGGGACTTAGATTTGGGGGCACCTTGGGTGGCTAACCATACACTGTTCCTTTGGTAGATTTTAAATCCTGAAGAGATTGAGAAATATGTTGCTGAGATTGAAAAAGAAAAAGAAGAAAATGAAAAGAAGAAACAAAAGAAAGCATCATGATGAACTGAAACTTTGCTTGTAATTTTTAAATTCAAATCATGGCTGATTTCCAAAAGGATACATATGCGTTTCCATTCCACTTAATCGTACTGTCCCAAGTGTCCTACAATAAATTTGCCTATTTTTTAACCTTTCTTTCAGAGGTGAATGCATCTTTTAGGTGTACGGATAGCTCTTTAGGGAACTTGCTCACTTTGGGTCTCTGGAGCATTCCTTTCCACTCCTCCTCCCCAGGCTCTAAGACAAGGTGATGGTTGAGTGGGATCCCTCCCTGGGATTTGTGGAAAGGCTGTACGGGGCAGTAGACAACAGGTGCCATGGAGGCAAAAACTTGGGGTTTCTCCACACAGGATGACCATTTCTTTTCACATTTTGTTGGAGTCCTTGATCAATGTATGATGTCAGGACACAAGGCCAGACTGTGCTCAGTTTAAACCAGGAGCTCACTTTGCAGCACAGCTCTGGAACTGGTCTTGAATTTCTGGTTCTAGTAAATCAGGTCAGCATTCCTCCTGTTTTGATCCTTAAAGACTTCTGGTCCCTACCCGCTCTCCCTCTTTAGCCAGAAAGATTATCCTTCTCTTAGCTTCCAGCCCACTTACAGGGTAAGTGGTGGTCCTCAGCTTTGCCTCAGTAGGAAAACCCCAAACACTCCCTTTGCCTGCATAGCTCTTGTGGGCTCTGCCACCAGCTTTAGCGGTGGCATTGCCTTTTGGCTTCCAGTACTGCAGGAGAACCCAGAGGGCTTTCTTGAGTCTCTAGGCTAGTGGTCTCTTGTGACTGCACTGGTAGTACTCCAGGGCTCTGCTCTGTCTTATCTATGGCTTTTCAGTTCTCGGTTCAATGGGTTATATCCATCCATCAGACTTCTAAAGAGTACCGGGAATTCCCTGGTGGTCCAGGAGCAGGACTTGGCACTTTGACTGCTGAGGGCCCTGTTCATTTACTCTTTGGTCGGGAAACTGTAAGATCCCATAAGCCACACAGCACAGCCGAAACAGTCAAGAGGCCTAGATACATTGTAAACTCAGCCTGAAGTGTCTAGTTGTCACAATGATTGTCAGTTTAAATTTTTAATAGCAAGGTTAGTCATAGGTGGTAAACTGTGACTTAACTATATTTAGACTCTTTAGCAGAGAATACCTGTTGAGCTTGAGTGTGGAGTCACCTACCTAGTTTAGAATTAGTGTTTAGGCTGGTTGTATCCAGCAGGTCAACTGTGGAAGGTGTTTATTTTTCATTGGCCAAAGCTGTCAGTCGCTCAAATGGAAAGTTGCCAAGAATTTGTTCAAATTCTGCAACTATCACCAGGGCTCAGGACCTGCTAGGAGTGGTGGACTGCCCAGAAGAGGACGTTGGCCAGAACACAAGGCTGGGTCCACCTGCTGCCTGGCCCTGCCCCGAGACTGCCTTTGAGAAACCACCTGGACGCTCATTAACAGTGACGTGAGGCGCTTCCATCTGGAAGCAGCCAGGTCTCTGCTTTTCTCTGTGGTCCAAAGGTCCAGCCCTGTAACATGTTATAAAGCATCAACATGAAGTTCTGGGGGTGTGGAAGCTGCATTAAGGTAGCAAGCCTTCTGAAGCTGGTTCTTTAAATCAGTGTTCCAAGAGTCTAGAGAGCAGGATCACTCACCCCAGAAGGGCCTGGCTGATGGCCCACATCCAGACTGACCAGGTCTTGCTCACAGCACCAGGTGTCCCCAGAGATCTGACCAGCTCAAGGCCTGAACAGCACACGCACAGCATGCACATGGGATGGGCATGTTAACCCTGATGTAATTTAGGCAACAGAGTCAACAGGACTATTTCTAGAGCGAGAGAAGCATTTTAAAGGTTTGCGTGTTTATTTATAATTACAAGTTTACATTACTCCAACAGGGCAACCCCACCGCTATGCTCTAATTCTTAGCCATGAAGTCCTACAAAAATAAACCTAAGCCTTTACAGTAACTTAATACAGAACTAAAACCTTTATACCTACTTAAAGGGATTTAGTTACCAAGGTGCTTATGTTCACCACAATGCCCTGTCAGAGAGAACATGCTTCTACTAAAGGTCTCATGCAATGAATTTATATTCCCACCCTCCCCTCCACCTACCAGTAAAACAAAAACATGGAACTATTTACAACTGAGAAGAAATATGCTCTTGGGTCAATCGACCTCGCAAAAACAAAAAGAAAAAGACTGGCTCATTTCCAAGTGGATGAGACACCGAACAGTGTTCGGCCTGAGTCCAACACTGACTGGCCTGGGTCAGGGACTGGTGAGGACAGGCACGCCACAGAGGGGCTTGTCCTGGGTGTTCACCCGACCCCAATTCCTATGAAGCCATGCTCCAAGTGACAGCTCACCTCCAGGAGCCCCCCACCCCGACCCCACCAGCCCCTACCTTGACATTGCCCCTTGGGATGTCAGGGTCATCTGCTTTGCTTATACAACATGATCTGTGGGACACCGCACTTTCCCTGCCCTAGGCCCACCCGCCCCCACATGCCCCCGTGCTGGCCATACCCGGCTCCCAGACCCCACCTGTGGCAGTGGGGGTGCCAGGCCAACAGCACCCGTGGCCAGTTGAGTTACAGAGATGCATTTGGCTGCTTCATTTGCCAAATGAAATTTGGTTCAACCTTAAAGTCAGAACTGTCCAAGAAAGGTCACAAAATGAGGATCACGCTTTCGCTCTAGAATCTTTCTGCAGAACACCAAAACCTTAGAATCAGGCTGTGCACAACTAAAAAGGAAAAATAGGCTAGGACACCTCAGAGCGGTTTCCCATGTACACTTCCCCAAACAAGAGGTTCTAACTCAGACCACATCCAAGTTCAGTCCAAAATTTAAGTAGTAGCACGGAACTTTCCAAACTCAGTAAACAAAGTGACCATGTCTCCCCCAGTAAGTGCAGCGTTCTCCATCATCCTCGTAGACACGGCCTGGCACCCGTGCTGCTTCAGCAAGAGCCTTCAAGAAGACATGACACCTGTGAGTGTCTCACCAGGCAGCTCCCCAGCCCAAGCCCAGCACACCTTGGCCTCCAATGAAGAATGGGCTACTCAACCTTCCCCCGACCCCAAGTCAGCCAACACAACCTGAGGTCATCTTTTGTCCACACTGGGGGTTGGAAGGCAGCTCCAGGTCCCACCTGCAGCTCATGCACCATCCAGACCCCAAGGGGCACACGTGATTCCCCCTTGACCTAGTTAAAGATGCAGACTCAGGGGCACTGCAGGGCCAGGCTGGAGCTGAGCCCCAGCTTGTAATCATTTCTCCTGATTGATCACACTAGAGAAGGAAACATCCCACCCTTCTGTGCCTGGACCCTCATTTTGACAACCTGGGGCCTGAGTCCCGCCGTCCCTGAGAGCCCCCTAAGTGATTCATTAAGATCCCAGGGCCCAGTCTGGCCACGATGCTAAAGGATCACGAAGCCCCCTCACTCACCTTTGGCTGCCTCCTTACACCCTGCCGGTCCCAGCTCTGTGGGAAGTCGGGTTACGGCGGGTTGCACCGTTGCCCCTGCCCCCTCGAAATCCACCGCGGAAACTGCGGCCTCGGAGGAACCTCCCTGACACCCCAAAGGTCTCCGTGTTGAGCTTCCTCTCCTCCGCCCACGTCGTCCGCCTGGAACTGAACCACAAACAACGTGAAACTGACTGCAGCAGGCAGCTCCTCACACAGCCTGGGAAGGAAGGACAGATGGTGACTCATCACTGGAGCCATGGGGGGCGGGGGGGAAATCCAGTCTGGACCTTGGAGCCCAAGCCTCTGCACTGCAAGGGTTCCGAAGCCTGTTTCCCACTGGACGGGTCTCTCACACCTGCAATGTCTTAAGGCCAGCACAAGACCCCCATGTGCTCAGGGGGAGGGGAGACAAGAGCCTCTTCCAGCATCACTACTCCACTTGAGAACGAAAGGACCTAAGTGTCCACACCATGCTCATCCTTCAGACTCCATTTACTGTCTAGCATGTTCTTGGGCAGCACCTGGGCATCAGCTGTTGGGTACTAAAAACAAAGCACATACGAGTCCCTGGCCTCAAGCTGTCAGGTTTAAGAAAACCATGGACACCCTTGCCAGCTGCCTAGGTGGCAAGGGCCTCAAGCCAGCAAGGTCAGACCAGGAAGCAGGCCCAGGTGAGGTGGTGCAGAACTGAACATCAGCAGTACCATCAGGGAGCACTCCACTCCCACCTTGATGGGGAAAGGGCAGCTGAACAAAGAGGAGCCTGGACCTGCGTCAGATCACTCCAGCACCAGTGACCACCAGGGCTCCCAGGCCCCCACCTCCTGCTGGAGCCACTGGGGCTACTGTATGCATGATGGTAAAACTGAATGGGGGCCCAAGAGATCTTCCCTGAACCTGAGATCTGGGTTTGGTCTCCATGGGAGCATGCCCCAGTCTCAAGAGCACAGGTACACCATCTCCACAGCAGCTCCCCGAGGCCTTGCCTTGTCCCTCAGCCCCCCAACCTGGTCTTGAGTTCAGAGGAGATGTTGTCAAAGAAGGACTTGGACTTGTCATAGTAGCAGTTGGGTCCCAAGTGGTCCTCCTCAGCAGGGGCCTCTTCACTCTGGGTCACCACGGCCAGGTCCTTCTCTTCCCCCTTCTCAGCTTTGTCATCTGCACAGAGAAACAGAGCACCGAGATACCAGGGAGCAAAGCAAGCCCCTTCCGCCAGGACAGGCCCCACTGGGCTGCTCTGCCTGACTGAGGCTTTGGGAAACACCCAAGAGTGTTCTGCACTGTGTGGAAGCTCTTCTGCTCCTCAGGGCTGGTCTCGGTCCCCCTGCACTGCCCCAGGCCCTGCAGCCTGCCCTTGTCCCCCCCACCAGACGCCTCTCCTTGCCGGGACTTCCTTACATGGCAGCACACTCTCCCACTGACCACCATTCCCAGCTGCCCCCCACCCCCAGCTGTCTTTCCTTGACCCACTCTATGGACACTCCTGGGGTGAGGGCAAATTTTCAGACCTTTAAAATTCAGTTTCTTCTTAAATTCCTTGTCCAGCTCTTCTCGGTTGAACTGGGCATTTGCACTCTCAAAATCAAAGTCACCTTCAAACTTGATTGTGTTTTCCTTGATGTTAGTTGGACGGCTTTGCCCTCTGGAGCGGTTCCTTGTTCGTCTGTTCCCTGTGAGAAGAAAGGGTGGCCCTGGCTGTTAAACCACTAACCCAACATTGCTCAGCGTGAGACAGCAGAGCAAGAGGGACAGAATACATGGAAGCCACTGCTGAACCCAGCCCCCCAAAACTGTCACCCACGAGAAGCAGGCAGGAGCCATGAGCAGAGCACGGCTCCCCAGAACTCTAAATGGCAACACCTGTTACCTGAGCGCCTCCTCTGAGGTCTTCTGTTCTCGTCGTTCACCTGCCCTTGAGTTTGCACAGCTGCCGGCTGAGCTACATCTAAGGCACAAAAGGGAAGAGTTTAAGGCCAGCACCTGCAGAAGCAGAGCCCGGCGAGGGATGGGGGCGGCACCCCCAGGGGACATGTGGCAAGAGGCTGCCCTGCAAAGCCTATAGGGCTTGTGAGGTGTGGGGCCGGGGGGTCTAGTTAAAAAAATAGAGACCCCCCAGGAAGCGCTGTGCCTGAGAACATGAATAAAGACCAGGGGAGAGAGCAGTTAAGTACCGGGGGTGGCCTTGCTGCCGGGTGGGGCCGGGCGGCCATTGAGCTGCATGCCCACGGTGCCCTTGCCAGGTAATAGCTTCTTGGAGTTCAAGTTATCAAGAGATCCAGTCTGGACAGCCTGCTCCACCATGGGGCTCTTGCCAACTGAGACAGATGGAAAGCTGGCTCCTGAGTTGAGGAGAAGAGGATTTAAAAATGGAGAAAAGGAGCAAGCCTCACACCCCACACCCCGATACTTGTCTCCCAGCTGGCGAGTGAGGCAGAAGAGGAAGGCAACCGCCTTGAGAAATTCTACCAAACACAGCACAGCCCCGACCCGTGCCATCCCCTGCATTGAGCCTAGGCAGCAACAAAGCCAGCAGGCTCCCCTAGTTAGGGCACCCCGAGGAGGGAAACCCCTACCACCACGAACACCTCTCAAGTGCCTTAGAAAACGCTTCCCCCAACCACACAAGCTCTAACCCCATGGGGGCTCGACAGTAATGAGATGCTGGTGAATTCACGATCTGAGAATGTGTTTCACTCTGGGCCCTGCTGGACAAGAACCATCTCAATCTGGCATCTTCCAAAAAATGCAGTGGTCAGCCTTTGAAGTTAAAAATGCTAGAACATGGTCATTTTTGCTTAAGGTACAATAAAATCAAAAAGGATGAAGTGATGAAAGCTGACTACAGAGGAAGTGACAGCCTGCGCTCTTCCCGTGAAGGCTCGTTTTAAGAGCCCAGGGTTCCCAGGCTGCCCCAGGAGCAGGCACCACAGGAGTCTTTCCCCGCCCCTGGCATCCCTAGGCCTGAGGGCAGAAGAGAAGCCTCAGAAGCCAGTCTTGGCAGAATTCCCAGCTCACAGGAGGGGCTCAGCCACAAGAGGAGGCCAGACAGGGAGGTCAGGCCATCTCCCCTCCCACGTTCCTATGGGCACTGTTGCAACGGACAGCTGAAGACTAGGTGGAGGTGCACAGACTTCTGAGACAAAGAACAATGAATCCTAACTATGGAGTAACTATGTTCGGAGGAGCAGCTCAGCACACAACAACTAAAGTCTACCTTAGTTCCACACACAACAGAAACGACTGTGAGAAATTCCTTGTAAAGATCAGTACTCAGAAGCCAGGCCCTGCACACAGGTACTTTTTTTTACTTTGGCCACACCACAAACCATGCAAGATCTTAGTTTCCTGACCAGGGATCGAACCTGTGCCTCCTTCAGGGGAAGCTCGAATTTTTAACCATTGGACTACCAGGGAAGTCCCCACACTGGTACTTCTAAGTGTTCTCTGTGATGGCATTAACTAACCTAGACCACTTTCTCTGACAATTGTGTCGCTGAACACGGCCTTCCCGCAACAAGACAGAGCTGCGTCCTACTCACACTGTAACCAGACTGGGTAAGAACCTTGGGCTTGTTTGCTTTTCACAAAAACAGACCAAACTATCTTGCCCTTAGAGCAGTTCTACATAAAGAGCCCCGAGAACAACCAACTATTTTGGGCAATTTTTAAGTGGGGGAAAACCACCGCAGCCATGCCAGATCCTCTGGCATCCATGCAGGAAAGCAACACAAGCAGGTTAACAGACTGACAGGAGTCGTGGGCTCTAATGGAAGCCCCAGGTACCATCTTGGACCAAGTCTCTGCAATGGTGAGGGCAGCACACACAGCGCTCTTGGGTCAGATTGCTGGTGAAAGGAGAAGACCCAGAAAGGTCAGGAAACTCCCACAAGTGCAGGCGCCCCGCAGACAGGTGGCACAAACCAGCATTAACAAGCCAGGGATCAGGCCAACTATTCACCTGGTCCACAGCTCAGGCTGGCCTCCCAATTTTAATAGTGCTTCTTTTCCCAAAGATATCTGAGGCCCCCGATTACTCATGCCCTGGGGGGTGAGGAAAGTGCCACACGGATCCCAGAGCAGCAGGCGATCGCCCTGCAGTCTTCCCCACCAGAAACCCCAGAAAAGGGCCTTCTGAGCAGAGGTAATTATGGTAGAGGTGAAAACAAGCCCTGGACTCAGGATGAGTAAACAAAGCGCACTGCCAGTTCTTTCTAATCAGTCGTTTAAAACTGTGGGAGTCATTACTCCAGGACTGCCTGCAAAACCACACAGAAGCACTTGAACTGATCATGGGCTCAGCAAGTTATCTGCTACAGCTACTGTCATTCTGGGCTACTGGTTTACCCCTCGCTCTTAGCTCGCAACACGGCATGCAGTTCTCCAAAACTGCTGTTACCCTTGGAAGTGAGCTGGTGTGGCTCTGAGGACATGTCAAGCTCTGAAACAGGTTGTGGAGATGGAGAAGAGCTAGGGCTGGAAGCCGCGGCTGAGGCTGGAGGGCTTACCAACTTCTCTAAAAGAAGATAAAGGAGACAAGAGCAAACAAGAAAGCACACAGGTGAGTAAGGACAGACCGCGCTCGCACCCAGCAGGCTCTCTCACGGGGCACTCTGTTCACACAGGCCTTATCTAGGAGGCGGGAGCCAGGTGAGAAGGCCTCCTGCACTGCGGGAGCAGCGGTCAAGATGGCAGGAGTCTTAAAGCACAACTCATGAGCCAAGTGGGCAATGCCTGCAACTGAATACACTGCAAACCTATGGCCAGGTAACCCTCAGTCTATGCGTGTAGAGGAGAATTTACTGAGCCATGGGGGAAATTTCATTTTTTGAGCAAAGCGCTGACAGGAGAATGATAAAAGGATAGAATAGGTGGGTGTTGCATTTAACTTTTATATTTATAGGCTGACAAATGTGTAAGTGGTTAGAACTCATCTGTAATTACACATATCAGTTATTTCTTCCTTGAAGCAGACGTACCACAACTTCCACCCAGACACAGGCTATTTTAAAGGAATGCTGATTTGATTCATCTGTTTTAAAACTCATACTGCTGCCTCTCTCACTCATTTGAGGAATTACTAATTTCTTACTAGGTGAAGGGGCACTGAGAAAGGTACATTACGCAGTGTGCACTACAATCTAGATGTGACAAGAATGCAGTGTCCCCACCACCAGGGTCTGTGCCCATCTCCTGGATGTCACAGCACAGGCAGTTCACAGGTGGCAAAGGTTACTCACCTAAACCCAAGGAAGCGGCATACTGCTGGCTAAGCAGGGAGCTGGCGGCCAGCTGGCTGTAGGGTGGCATCCCTCGGAAGGGGCTGTAAGGCACGTGTGGCTGGAAGGAGGAGGCCGAGCCCGAGCCCAGGGAAGACTGAGCAACGAGACACACAGGTGAGAGCAGCGCAAGGCCTCCCGTCACCCTGCCTGGAGAGCGCCATGCAGACCAGCAAAGGCAGCCAGGCTGCCAGCCTGCATTCGCAGAGGCTGAGGCGGCGCGGAGGCGCTAGAGCCTCCAAGACGACCTCAGAACCACCAATTCCACACTTCATCCCTGCTCCACCAGTATACGAAAGTCTAACACGATCTTCTCCTAACTCTATGAACCCCTCTGATGGCCCCCCGCTGCCTGTGACCAGAAACTCAGAGAACCGGGGGCATCAACTAGGCCCTTCCCCCAACATTCAGGGGCCCAGCTGTGCCACTAGGAAACTGTCTCCACGCGTCTCCTCTCTGGCTGCCCACCTTCAGGCAGACTGGTGCCTGGGCTCTGCTGTCTCTCAAGGACTTGCTCAGGTACTTCCTTCTTCTCAGCTTCCTAGGGACACTCATTCCAAACTTTTCCGAAGTCTGGCCTGGGGCTTCTTTATGGGCTCCACAGCCCAGAGTGCAAGCTCCTACCTCCTAGGGGGCACGCTCAGCCTCAGAGCCTCCTGCAGTGTGAACCCCAGAAGAGTCAGTGACTGTCGAAGTTTACAAGTAAAGAAAGTATCAGCCTGGGCTCCCTAGTAATCCAAGGCAAATGCCCTAATGCAGCAGGCAGGCATGTGGTATGAGACCTGCAACATCAACGTCCCGCAACTCTGAATGCAATGCCTGGACAGTGTAGAGAGAGCAAGTACCGCTGACCCAAGTCCCTCCAAGCATCTCTGCTGCTCATAGCATGCCACTGGGGCTCCAGGCTTACCCAACCAAACACTAAGGACAAGGCCCCCAGGTGCATATCAGTAATTTCCCCTAAAAGCATCTCGCCCCCACCCCTCCCAGCACACCCACCTCCCTCTTCAGTACACCCCACAGTGTTAGAGGAGGTTAAGACCTCCCACAGAACACCAACTGCCTAGACAAAAATTCAACTACTTTTCATGAAAAGGTCATTCTTTGAGTTGAGCACTCTGGCCATGGCCAGATGACACCAAGTTCCACTTGGAAACCAGCAGCTCTTAGAAACAATGCCCACAACACAAACACAGCAAGGCACTTACTTGAACGATAGCAGGATCCTGGGGGAGCGTGTGCTGAGCTTTCGGAGGTTCACACACAGTAATATCTTTGATATCACTTCCCCGGAAGATGATGTACTCATAAATCTCCTCTCTAGGGGGGGCAGGCCTATCTGTGGGACGGTCTTCAGTACCAAAGGACCTCACTTAGGGGTTGAGAAAAAGAAGGGTTAATTTGTTGTCCTCAACCAAGTGCATTCAATCAGTCCCCTCCTAGGAGCCAGTTTCCACGTTTCAACTACTACCCACCCCCAATTATCAATGGAGAAGACCCCATTATCAACCGACAAGTCCCCAGCTGTCAAAGCTCCAAAAAGTTCTAGGTCACAAAGGACAAGGAAAGATTCATGAAGCTCAATATTCTCATTTTCAAACACAAACCAGCACTCTCGCAAAATGAGTCGTCTGATTTACAGAACCCCCGTTCACATCTGACTTAGCAGATTAAACAGCCCCAAAGCTGCTTTTTGATTGAAACTTCACAACACATCAGCCCTGGGGAGTCTTGTTTTCAAGTGAGAAAAGCCGTGGGTTGAGTGCTATCCCCACCCTTCTGTCCACAAGCAGCCTGGGAGGAGCTGGTAGAGAAACAATGGGAGAGGGGTGCCCTGAACATGGACCCCCACCAGCAGTGTCACAGTTTCCCGGTGGAACTTCCTAGGGGGTTAACCCATAATGGCAGGGTTCAAGGAGCCCAAGCAAGTGTCTCCTCCTGGGATCTCTGAGGCACAGATGGGCTTGAGACTGCCTCTAACTAATTTGAGCACAGTGAGGGCCAGGGACTACTCTGGGCCTCAGGTTTTCCAGCCAGGGTCTCAGGCCAAATGCTGTCAAAAGTCAAGAGTACAAATGACGATATAATCTTATAATACTAATACTAGTCAGTACTAACACAAATTAGTACTTATACTAACACAATACTAATAGTACTTGTATCAACACCTCCTGGAGCAACGCGTCCATCCAAAAACCTAACTACTAGTCTTTAGAGGAACTATTCCCAGAGCTGGGAACTGACTGCGACCTAAAGCCTGGGGCTCTAACACAAGAGAGTGGGAGCTGCGCCTTGACCCTTGAAGCCCAGCACAATGTCCCTAGCCTAACAAGACTCACCAACCACATGGGGCTTCTATAGACCTGGCTGCACGAAGCACTTCTACGAGGCAGAGGAACGACACTAGTTACCTTCCCGGAGGATGAAGACAAAGGAACTTTGGGGCCACCTCCTGCCTCAACACACTCAGAAAGACTCTGAGCTCCAGCAGAGGGACAATGCAGCCATCTTTCCCTAAGTCTCCCAGGACTTCAGTGGGGTTACCAACGCCCGCAGGGAGAGATCTGTCACCAAATAAACCCACAGACCGAACGTCTGAATGAAGAGTAGAAGGCGCTTTCAAACGGAGCACCTAGCCGCCAGCCGATGCTCTTATCCTAGCAGGAGAATCCATTAAGACGTGGTATTTGTTCAGGCTCAAGGCCCCAGCTGCTTAATAGGTTCCAGAAGGGCTTGCAGGAGTCGTTTTCTCACCCCCCGCCCCCCCAGCGGCCTGGAGAGGCCCGGGGAGACTCGGGTCTGCGCGCTCCCCCTACCCCTCCCTTTCCCTCCCCTCCCCCCAGGGACCGGGTTTTCTCGGCGCCCGCGGCCCCCTCGGCCCTAGGGCAGGTGGGGAGAAGACAGCCCAGCAACGCCGAGCCCCCACCTGCAGAGGTGGGTTACGCCACCACAGAGAACGGGGGGCGGCGCCGCGGGAGCTGGACCCGCCCCCACCTCCCCACCCCAACTCCGGGCAGAGCCGGGCGGCCGCTCACAATTACGCCGCCTCCGGGGCCGGGAGAGCCCATTGTGCGGGTCGAGCCCCGGAGGGCTGCGACGGGAGAGGGGCGGAGGCCAGGGACGCCCCGGGGGGCGCGGACAGGATGCGGGGGTGCGCCGGGGGGCGGGGGAGGGGCGCCCCGGGGGGTGAGGCGGGACTGGGGAGGGGGCGCGCTGGCGAGGTGGGGGTAGGGCGGGGGCGCGGGCCCGGCTGTTGGCGGGGGCGGGGGCCGGACGGTTGGGGCGGCCGCGGGGCGCTACCTTTGGCGAGCGCCACGGTGGAGTTGTCCGTGTCGATGGTGTAGAGGATGCCCTCGTAGCGGATCTGCGCCTTGGAGATGAGGCTGATCTTGCTGCCCAGGTACGGGGTGCCCGAGGAGCCGCTCATGGCGGCGGCCGCCCGGCCGGGCCTGACCCGCTCGCCTCCGCGCGGTCGCCTCGTCGCCCTCTCCTCGGCCTCGGCGCCGCCTTACCGCCGCGCGAGGGCCTGCGCGGGGACCAGCGAGTGAGCGGCGGCGGCGCGCGGCCGGGGGCTCTGAGGGGAGCGCGGGGGAGGAGGGGCCACAGCAGCCACATCCGGGGCCTGCGCCGCCACGCCCCGCCCCCACACGCTCGTCGCCCATTGGCTCGCCTCGCCAGCCTCCCTTTAAATATGGCCGTGCCGCCGGCCTGGAGGCGGGCCCGCGATCTGCGCCTGCGCAGCCAGCACCGCCAGCCCGGGCGGGCTTTCCCCTGCTCTCCGCCCCACTTCTCGGCTGGCTCCCGGCGGGCCCCGCGCAGGGTGGTAGCAAGAGACGCGACGGGCAGGACTGGGGGAGGGGTGGGAATCGGCCGGGGCGGAGCGCGCGTGCGCGGGAGGGGCGGGGCACACGTGTGGCGAAGGGGCGGGGCGCCAAGGTCTGCCTGCAGCGCGTGCTAATCTTCTCGCCACCCAGGGACAGGGAGCCAGTGGACAGTGTTAACGGCTCTCAGTTTCCCCTTTTTCAGCAGCTTGCCGGACATCTTTTTCCGGCCCTGGGCGGGAAGGCCAGCTTGCGCCCCAACTCTCCCGTTCCCCAGGGGCATAGATTGGGGGCTCCCTTCGTCGGGGAGTGACGGGGGGCCGAGGTCACTGCCCACGGAGGTCGGGGTGAAGGTGGGGGGCCGGGGAGGTCTCTTCCTTAAGAGTAGAAGGTAGGAGGCCGGGCCATAGTCATTGTCTGCGGGGTGGAGGCGGAGGGTCCGGGGGCAGGGTCTCTTCCCCGGGGGCACGAAGACGGGATCAAGGTCACTGCCCAGTAGGTTAGGGTGGGGGCCGCCCCTCGCGCGTGGGGCGCCGTAGTAACTGCGGGTAACGAGTGCTTCCGGCGCGTTGGCCGCTAAATATAACATGCTGAGCGCATCTCCTTTAATCCCGCCCCTCCCCCTCCCCTGCGGTGGCGTTCCGCGTCCCTTAAAATAAATCCCCGCCGCGCCACCAGGGCCTCCGAGCCCCGCCTGACCTGGCCTGCTTGCCGCCTTGTCCGGCTCCGGCTCCGGCTGGAGGCCTTGCAGTGAACTGGGAAACGGGGCGCCCCTCCTGTTCGCCAGACCTCTCTTCCCTGCACAGCCCTGTACTCCATGGGTGGTTACGTCTGCACTTGCTTTTTTATTTTTCTTGGTCTGTCTCTCTTGACATCAGATCAGAGGCCAGTATTGGGTCATGTAAAAGCTTAATGAGTGGTGACCAGCATTTTATAAAAACGAGACAGAATGAGGCGGAGAGCGTCTCAGGGAGAGTGCTCTGGCTCTGGGAACCGTTTATTTCAGGTACATGTATTTAAGTGGGTACTTGACCAAGATGTAAACGGCGTTGCTTGCAGTAAGTGCCCAGTGAAAACACAAGAGCCACAGCAGTGAACCCCTTACCACACCATGCACTTTGGCTCTGACTCCCCATTTTACAGAAGAGCCCCAGCATGGGAGGGTCACCCGGCCCACAGGTTGCAGATACCACAGACTCCTGCAGCCTGCCAGGAGACTCCTGCCCTTGTGAACCCCCTAGCCCCACAGGCACCCTGCAACAGAACAGTACTGGGTTGGAGAAAAGGGAGCAGAGAAGGAGCAGAAGACAAGATGAAAAAGTCTTTCTAAAGTTTAACTGCCGAGATTTAGCTGTGCTTCTCTGCTCCTGGAGGTACACTGGTGAGATGACCCCTGGGTTAGCCCAGCTCCAGTAAGAAAGGTCACCAGGCCTGGGGGCATCTGCCCATAGGCATGACACAGGGCTCTCCCTCAGCACAGTACAGTCTTCCCCAGGGTGTGCCTATGTGCTATCAGTCCCCCCACCCCAGGTCTCCTGAGCACCTCAGTGACGATCTGGGCTGGGGTCCCCCGTGCAGCTGGTGCCTCCCCACCCACTATGCAGGTCCAGAACATGACTTGCCCCAGGTCACAGGTTTTGTGGCTCACACATCTCGCCCCAGCCGTGTGTGCGCGGCGGGGTGGGGGACTGGGGGTGCATTCTTCGCCAGCAGGAGCCGACTCAGCCATGGACAGAGACGCTGGGTCGTGAGCTCCAGGGTCAGGGCAGCAGCAGTGCCCGAGACCTTGGAGAGACCACTGGACTCCCGGTGTGCAGCCGGCTGGTTCCCTGAAGATGTCAGTTGCTGCAAATGGCAGGGCAGAGGCTAAAAATACACGTGGCGCACAGGTCCAGGAAGGCTGGCTGTGTCATTCATTCCTTGGCATCCTGCCCACAGTGGAGGGCGCTTGCAAAAGGACAGAGAGGGGGGGCAGTTGTGTGGGGCCTACATGTATCCCAGGAGTCCATTAGTGTGGTCTGTTTCCCAGGAGAGGACACACCCCTCCAGCCCCACCACCCTAAATAGCCATTCACAGTGCCTACCTGCTCAGTCATCACCAAGCCTTAGGCTCCCAAGCCTGGGGATGTAGTATGTGCTAAGTCGCTTCAGTCATGTCCGACTCTTTGCAACCCCATGGACTATCCCGCGAGGCTCCTCTGTCCATGGGATTCTCTGGGCAGGAATACTGGAGTGGGTTGCTATTTCCTCTTCCAGGGGATCTTCCCAACCCAGGGACTGAACCCACATCTCTTATGTCTCCTGCATTGGCTGGTGGGTTCTTTACCATTCGGGCTACCTGGGAAGCCTGGGATGTAGAGAGAGGAGCTAAGAACCCAGAAGATTCTGGGTAGGTTGGGTTCCCTGCCTCAGTTTCTCCTTTTGCCAGATGGAGATGACAGCTGTCCTGCCTCTCTCACTGGGAGCATGTGAGGACCCCAGAATATAATGCTTGTGATGGGCTTTTGATAGGTGCTGGGGCTCTGCGTCAGTGGGGGGAGGCATGCAGAGGACCACAGAAACGGCTGGCTAGGTTTCCACTGCACCCACGAGCCACACACTAAGCCCTGGTGTTTGGAGGAGAGTGTCCTTTATTAAGGGCTTCCCAGGTGGCGCTAGTGGTAAAGAACCTGCTTGCCAATGCCCAAGAGACACAGGTTTGATCCCTGGGTCAGGAAGATCTGGAGAAGGACGTGGCAACCCGCTCCAGTATTCTTGCCTAGAGAATCCCATGGACAGAGGAACCTGGCAGGCTACAGTTCATAGGATTGCAAAGAATCAGACACGACTGAGGAGACTCAGCACGCTCACGCACATGTCTCTTACTAGGGACGAGTGTGAAGATACACAGAATCCTGCCCAGGGTTTCACTGCCGCCCATGTCCTGCAGCAGGTGAGGGGCAAGTTGCCACAGAAAACCACTTTGTGACTGATACGCAGCTGAGAAGGAATGCCTGGCCTGGCCACTGACCTCATAGGTATTATGGCTTAGTAGGGGCTTCCCCGGTGGCTCAGTGGTAAAGAAGCTGCCTTCAGTATAGGAACCACAGGAGACGCAAGTTCAATCCCTGGTTGGGATGATTCCCCTGAGGAGGCCATGGCAACCCACTCCAGCATTCTTGCCTGGAGAATCCCATGGAGAGAGAAGCCTGGAGGGCAACTGTCCATGGAGTCACAAAGAGTCAGATAGGACTGAAGCGACTTAGCATGCATGCACATGGCTTGGTAGCAGCAAAACAGAACAGTGAGTTGTTAGTAATAGGTGGTCACAGATAAAGCAGGAAGCGAGTCTGTGGTCTGAACCTGGGAACAGGCCAGCAAGGCAGGACCTTGCCTGTCCCCTGCTCTCCTCCCGGACCTGATGCACACATGGGAGGGGTAGATGCCCACCCTCTGGGAGGGAGACATTGCCCATAGAGAGTGAGGGGCCAGGAGGGGGCTGAGGACTTACAGGTGGGCTGGGTCGGGGGCAGGGGGCTGGCTTTGGGAGTCTTCCAGGCAGTCTTCCAGGGGTTGGGAGGCCCCAGACAGGTGTGCTCAGGGCTTCAGTGGTCTGGGAGTAAAGACAAGACGAGCAGGGTTGATCCTGCACAGCCAAGCATCCTCCCCAAGTTCTCATCTCTGTGAATCCACTGGAAGTGCATTCCCTGCCCCAGGGCTTGCAGGGCTGTGTTCCCTGGAGGCTCCCAGAGCTCCAGTGGGTTGAAGTTCATGCATCTTTGGAACCCCCCCCTGCCTTCCTTTCCCTTCTCCTTCATCCCTTCCTTCCTCTTCCATCTCTTTCTCCTTCCCTCCGCCCCCCCCCCCTTCCTCATCTCCTCTCCTCCTCTTCCAGCCCACCATCTACCCAGCTGAACCTCCTGGTGATGAGGCATGCTGTGGGGAGTAAACAGAAGTGTATTTGGGGACTTCTCTTGTGGTTCAGTGGCTGAGATGCTGTGCTCCCAATGCAGGAGGCAGAGGTTCAATTCCTGGTCAAGAAAGTATATTCCACAAGCTGCAACTTAGAGTTCACATAACCCAGTGAAGGTTGAAGATCCCTCATGCTGCAACTAAGACCCAATGAAGGTTGAAGATCCCTCATGCTGCAACTAAGACCCAGTGCAGTCAAATAAGTGTGTTAAGAAACAGACCTAGCTAAGCAGCCTTGGCCCGCCATTCCAGGTCCAGCTGGGTGGGACAGTGAGCAGAGTTGATGGGACCCTGGCAGAACCAGACACTTGGTCCCTGAGTATCAGGGGGCTTCCCTGGTGGCCCAGTGGTTGGGAGTCTGCCTGCCAGTGCAGGGGATATGGATTCGATTCCTGGTCTGAGAGGATTCAACATGCCTCAGGGCAACTAAGCCCGTGTGTGGCACAGCTGCTGAAGCCTGCGTGCCTGGAGCCTCTTCTCGGTCATAAAAGAAGTCCTCACGCACTGCAACTAAAGCGCACACGAAGCAATGAAAACTCAGTGCAACCAAAAATAAATCTCAAAAAAAAAAGAAAAAAGACAGCAAACTTGGAAAAAAAATAAAAGAGCCCAGGAACAACTTAGGGGGCACATCCTGGGACCCCTTAGCCACCCTCACCACCCAGGGCCAGTCAGGCAGAACTGGCTGTGTTCTCCTAACCTCTCCTACTCCAGCATTCTAGAGAAAAGTGGGGACCAGGTTGTGGCTCATGTTCTGAGGATGGAAAGCGTGAGCACCAGGCCAGCAAGCAGCAGGGACTCTCGTAACAAGTCATCCTGGGTCACTCCCATCTGCTCGCATGCTCAGAGCCTCCCTGAGAAGGGTGATAGGAAGGGTCATTAGGGACCAGGGCCCACCATGCATAGAAGGAGGGTGGAAGGAGGTTGAGGCCCCCAGGGTCCCCCACATCAGCAGCTGGGCCCACCCTACCCATCCCACAAGGCCCCCACACCCCTTCCATACACCTGGGCTCCCTCACAACCTCAAGGAAGAAGTGTCCAGGCCGGAGAAGTCAGTGGTGAGCATTTGACTCCTGAGAGCAGGGTGGGAGGAAGACAGGTTTCAGAGAGGAGAAGGAAATTGCCCAGAAGCAGAGCCCTGGGACACCATTCCTGGTACCTCCCACCTCACCCCCTGCCGTGTGCCCTGGGCATCTCCTGCCCACATTCTTCTGGGGTAGTGAGCCGCCGGCCATGGTGATGGGCAGGCCCATGGTTCAGGTGACCTGTCCCCACCCCCTAAGAACCTCCATGCCACGCTCTGGGTTTGGCACCAGGCACATGCACCATCGCTGTTTATCCAGCTCAGCTCGTAGGGGGCTTGCCAGCGCTCCATGCCAGCCACCCAGCTCTGACCTCCTGGTGGTTCCCAAGGGGAGCTCAGAAAAGGGAAGTGGGCAGTGGGGCAGGGGGCTATAGGGAGAGTCCCCTGTGTTCCCCTGAGCACATGGCAAGTATTTTTATTTATCAGTAGAAGGTCGCTCTAAGGGCCCAGTGGTGATGCATGTGTCTGTCTAGCAGCAGATGCTGTGGAGCGATCTCACAGCAGAGCTGGAGACCCCCATGAACCATGACTACTGGCAGGAGATTGGGTCAGTCTGGGCACCACACATAAGCAGACCATGGTCGTATAGACGGACTGTGAGGGAAAGAAACTCAAAGAACCCACACTCTGATCCCCTGTATGGAGTCACAGGCCTGCACTGCACGATGCACCCAGGATGTTGGAGATCAGGATGGGGCCCCCCAGCCTGGGGGCGCCTAATGATGATGAACCCAGCCTGAGCTGGATGCTCAGGGTCACACATCTAGTGAGTGGCCGGGCTGGGATTCCGATCTGAGCCTCCGGCTTCTGACCATACACCCTGCCTCCTGGTGTTCCTTGTTCAGCCCCCAGGGGAAAGACCAGATGCCTACTCCTCACTCAAGGAACCCCCACTGTGCCTGTGCCCAGGGCAGGCTGTCCTGAGCTGAAGCTTGGCTGGGGGACATTCCTTCTTCCTTCTCTTGACCCCATGCAGAGAGTGCAGGATGCGTCCCAGGACGTTGCCACAGTAACCCAGAGACCTCCCGGGAGCATCCTAGAATGTGAACGCCCTGTCAGCTCCAAGGCTGGACGCCTGCTTGTCTTTGCACCTGCTGATGATACACGAGCACAGGCCTGACACAATCGCAGCTCCAGGAATGAAGTCGTGTAAATAAGCAGTAGAGGGCTTCCCAGGTGGCTCAGGGGTAAAGAATCCACCTGCCAATGCAGAAGATGGGGGTGGGGTTCCATCCCTGGGCTGGAAGATCCCCTGGAGAAGGGAATGACAATCTACTCCAGTATTCTTGCCTGGAGAATCCCACGGACAGAGGCACCTGGCAAGCTAGAGTCCATGGGGTTGCCAAGAGTCAAGATTAGACAGAGCAACTGAGCACACGTGCAGAGACGGTCCAGCCCCCGAAGCCTGTGGTCACTGCAGTGCTTGGGAGCCAAGCCGAGGGCTTCTCGGCTGCGTGCTGACACCCTCACCCAGCGAGAGGCTGGAATGTGGATGGGGAGCATCCTGCCGGGCCCATGGGTGCTTTGGCTCGTGAAGGTCCAGTTTGTTAACACTACAAACCTTCTCTTCTGTGACTGCCGGAAGCTCTCTGAACACCAAGCGTTGGCAGCAAGGAGCCAGGTTCGTGGAGAGCCTGGGCCCTGAGGCAGACACTCTTTGTGCTGCACACGAGCCAGGCGGGCACGTGTATGGTGGGAGGGGCAGCCTGTGGGCCTAGCTGAGGAGGGGGCTCTCCTCCAGGAAGATGCCTCCGCCCAGAGCTGCTTCTGGGTTTTCCAGGAGGTCTCAGCAGCTGGATGGGGTGGGTGGGGGTGGGCATCGCCAAAAACACACCCCCATGGCTGGAGTTGCTCACACAAGCCACCGCAGACGTCCACAAGTGTGTATTTGTCTTTCCCAAGCAGCAAGCATGAGAAATGTTTGCCTTGGGAGTCTCCCTGGGTTTGGGGAAGTGTTTTCACAAATAGTGTTCACCATGCTCCCTGGAACCTCAGGGCCAGTGGTCCAGATCTGGTTTCTCTCCACACTGGGCTATACCGAACTCACATCTGTTTATTCATTTCTTTGTTTAGCAACATTTTTGAGGTATTATTTACATACCATAATATTAACCCATTTAAGGCGTTCAATTCAGAGATGTTTAGTATAGTCACAGAGTGATGCAGCCATCACCAATGTATAATTCCAGAACATTCCAACCCTCCAAACCGGGGTTTCCCTGGTGGTCCAGTGGTTAGGATGCCGATCTTCCACTGCAGGGGCAGGGGTTCGATCTCTGGTTGGGGAACCCCGCATGCTTTGAGGTGCAGTCAAAGGGAAAAAAGAAAGGTCAACACAGCGCCCCCAAACTCACTAGCCATTAGGGCTCACTCCCCACTGCACTGTCCCCCCCAAGGTGCAGGCAACCACTGTGGATTTGCCTGTTCTGGACATTTCCCATCCATGGAATTATACCCTGTGTAGGTTTCTGTGACTGGTTGTTTTCACTATGCAAACGTTTTTAAGTGTCTTCAAGGCTCATCCAGGTTGCAGTGTGTATGAGTACTTATTTCTTTCTGTAACTGAATAACATTCTGTTGTAGGACAGTGCTTATGTGTTCATCAGTTGATGGATATTTGGGTTGTGTCCACCTTTGAGCTACTGTGAATGATGCTGCTATAAACACTGTGTACAGGGCTTTGTGTGGACATATGTTTTCATTTCCCGCAGTATATACCTCAGTAGAATTGCCTGCTCATATGGTGAGTCTATGTTTAACATTATGAGAAACCACCAGACGTTTTTCCAGAGTGGCTGCACACCTTTCTGTTCCCACAGCAACGTGTGAGGGCAGCTGGTCCTTGTATGATGCTATCTGGGGACAGGGTGTCCATGTCTCAGCAGGGCTATTCCTTCCATTTGGGGATGAAAGGCAGTTCCCTGCTCAGATGAGTGCCCCAGCACTGAGTGTCCACCCCTCTGTCAGCAGTCGCCGAAGGGGCAGCAGATTCGTGCTCAGCTGGGCAGGACAGATAGAGGTTTCTTTTAGGACAGGCCTTGGGAGGGGACTGACAGCCTGCTTCTGGGAGAGCTGCCCTGGGGTTGCTGTGTATGCAGCCTGCCTTTCATCCCAGTTAGTCAGGTAGCGCACGAGTCATAGTCCTTCGGCCCAAAGTCCCCAGACCTTACAGCTCCAGGTCTTCAGGCCTGTGGGTCATTATCCTGACCTTGGATACAAGCAGACCTCAGAGGTATTGTGGGTTCCCTGCCATGCCACTGCAATAAAGTGGACATCAGAATACAGGGAGTCGTGAATTTTTTTTGGTTTCCTAAAACTTACGTTTAGGGTCGTGAATTTTTTTTTTTTGGTTTCCTAAAACTTATGTTCAGGGACTTTTCAGGACTGATGCTGAAGCTCCAATACTGTGGCCACCTGATGCAAAGAGGCAACTCATAACACCAGGAGAAAACAAAGGACACAGAAGCCTGGTGTGCTGCAGTCCATGGGGTCACAAAGAGTTGGACATGTCTCAGTGGCTGGGTAACAACAGCTAGCAGTCTAGCAGCTAAGACTCCATGCTCCCAGTGCAGGGGGCCTAGGTTTGATCCCTAGTCAGGGAACTAGATCCCACATGCCACAACTAAGACCTGGTGTAGCCAAATAAATATTTTAAGAGTTACGCTTACACTATAGTCTATGAAGTGTGCAATAGCATAATGTCTAAAGGATAATGTATATACCTTAATTTTAAAATAATGCTGTTGGAAAAATGTGTGCTGATAGACTTGCTAGATGCAGGGTTTCCACAAAACTTCAGTTGGTGAAAAATGCAGTATCTGTGAAATGCAATAAAGCAAAGCATAATTAAACAAGGTATGCTTGCAGGATGCAGACTGTGTGTTCTGATTTCTGCAGAGAAAAATAAGCTCCATGGAGCAAACACTTTGAAGGAGTGCTCAGAAAAAAGGACAGCAGCTGAAGTTCACAGTTGCTGAGTGTGTGCTGGCCAGTGTACCAAGCAGTTTCCATCTACACGTTTGATGTTAGAAGCAGTGCTCTGGGGATGGCGGAGGGGGTGGAGTGCTCTACAATTATCCCATTTTATAGACAGGAGAGCAAGGATGAGGGCAGTTATGGAATGTACCTACCGTTCTAGCTATGTGTTAGTTGTTCAGTCCTGTCCAACTCTTTGTGACCCCATGGATTGTAACCCACCAGGCTCCTCTGTCCATGGGATTGTCCAGGCAAGAATACTGGACTAGGTTTCCATTTCCTTCTCCAGGGGATCTTCCTGACCCAGGGATCGAACCTGAGTCTCCTGCATTGCAGACAGATTCTTGCTGAGCCAGGTGCAAACCCCAAACATTTGCTGAGTGAATAAACCAACCCTCCCCGGTCATCCTGCCTGTCATCACATAATGACCAGGTGAGAGGGTCTCCGGGAAGCAGATGCTGAGATTTGTGAGGGTTCAAAGGGTATGACTGGGTTGGGGCGGGTGGTAACACCTCTGAGGGGGGAAGTGGAGGAAGTTGGCATAGGCTGGGACCAGACAAAGTCTCCCTGCTGATCAGAACTCTGGAGTCCAAGTGAGGAGTCCCATGTGGGCAGAAGTGACCAGACCCTAGGAACACAGCCTCGCTCGGGGGCTGACTGCGGCCACCCTGAGAAGGGCACCATCTCCATGAAATCTGAGGCAGACCCTAAGCCTCTAATGGCTGTGGGCTCCTATATGGGGCAGTGCGTCTCTTTGGGAAGGGAGATCTGTGTGACCACAGTCTACACCCTTGGGCGAACAGGTTCGCTCTCTGGCACGTGGGGGCTCCTCCAGGGGTCCTCCAGCCTCTCTTCCTGGGGATACTTAGATGAGAGAGGGAGGTGGATGTGCCCTCACTGGTCTCGGGGCCTCAGCTGGTGCTCAGCCCCTCTGGTCTCCACTCTTCACTCTCCAGTCCACACCCTCCTCGTTGTCACCTCTGCAGGTCTTAGGGGTCTTCGTCAGGGAGTGACCCTCATCCTCATTCCAGAGGATCTGAGCCCCAGTTTCTGTTCGTTATCAGGTTGGGGGCCCTGCTCTGTCCATTCACGGTAATGGTCATATGGGGAGCACCATGGTGCCAGGGACACTCTCAGAATTCACTCCCTACCCCGCAGACTTCACAATATATGTCAGCCAAATCTTGAAGTCCCTTTTCTCCAGTATCGTCCCAGCTACATTTGTGACTTACTTCTTGTTACAGGCCTGGAGACCCAGAAAGCATGTGGGACAGGCATCCGCTGTCTTGTTGGGGAGAGTTCCACATCACTGCTGGGGAGGGGGCCGCGTCTGCAGGCTCAGGTGGCAGAAGGCCTCTGTGGAGTCAAATTCTGCATGCACACATTCGGGTCCCCACCCGCTGGGGGTGCCCGGGGTCCCAACCAGGGTCCTGATGTAGGCAGAACAGTCCTGCCTCAGCTGAGCACTCAACCATCTGAAGTATAGCCTCTCTGGCCACCACATTTGAACCTGAGTGTTTTCTGCTCTGGGACCTGAGATGGGAATTGCTTTGAAGTTGCTAATGAGATTGCTGGCCCTCACACCCTGTTCTCAATTATTTAACTGCCCCCAGCCTGTCATTATCACCTTAATGTCAATGTCTGTAAGTCAGCAACTTAGTTAAGGAAGGTACCATTATCTCCTCCCTCCTCCAGATGAGCCAGTGGAGATCCCTCCACCAGCCTCTTTCCCAGCCCCTTCCCCAAACCATCCCTGGGGAAAGTGTCCACAGCTGGGCCCCAGGCCAGGGATAGAGTTCTCCTCTGCCCCGACAGTGAGTGGTCCCATCCACAAGTGCACCCTGCTGCCTTCTTTCCTGGACAGCTCCACTCCCAGTCCCAACTTCTCCAGGAAGCAGACAGTGAAGTGGAGTTGGGAGTGCAAAGGTTTCTTGGAAAGAAATACCTGCAGAGGGGAAAAGGGAGGTGGCAGGGCTGAGCAGGAGGGACCACCAATGGTGATGTGTCAGCCCAGGGGGGTAGCTCAGGAGCACTGGCCCATTGTAGGAGTCCCACACTGAGCAGAAATAGCTGGCAGGGCCTGGGATCACCCGAGCAGAGAGTGACCTGGGTTTGCAGCTAATGGCTGGAGGTTCTAGGGTCACCCTGCTCCTTGCAGCTGGGCTGTGGTCCTTTCCCAGAGGGCTGTGAGCAGTGCATCTCTGCACCTGCACAAAGAGGATGTCAAGAATCCATCCCTTCCCGGGAAAGCCCTCAGCCTTGTCACTTTGGGCTGGCTTGTCAAGAGTGCCATATTCCCTTTGGGAGACTGGCATGGTCCTGGCTCTTTTCTGTGAAATGCAGCCCCACCCAGATGTTTAGCATCTTTTCATCTTCTTATCGGTCTTTTGTATATCTCCTTTGGAGAAATGTCTATTCACATCCTTTGCTTGTTTTAAAATTGGGTTATTTGTCTTTTTATTATTGAGTTGTGATAGTTCTTTATATATTCTAGATAACATTCTCCTCTAAGTGTGATTTAAACTTTTTCTGTCATTTTTTTTTCCATTTTCTTGATGTCTTTTGAAGTGCAAAAGTTTAAAAACTTGATGATGTCAAATTTATCTTTTTTTGTTGTTATTGTATGTGCTTTTGCTGTCATATAT